TCTGGTTAGCATGGAGTGGTGTGCCGTGAAAAGAAATTAAGACGTTGTTTAGTTTGTTTTTCAAAAAAAAAAATTTGAAAAAATTACTTATAAATAAATTTTTAAAAATAATCAAATTAAATAAATTTTTTCAAAAAAAATCTTAAAATTTTGTTCAATTACCAACTTTCTAAAATCATTTTCTCTCTTATACACATTAAAATCAATCACTTTTTTAAAAATTCTCTCTCCAAAATAATTTTTCAACCCCCCCAATTGAAACCCTCTCCTCTTTTTTTATTTTTAAACCCCACTTTAATACCAACCATACCCCTCTTCTTTGGACCCCAACTCTTTTTCTTCTGTCAATCCTTTCCATCGTCAACAACTCTTCACCGTCGACGACCTTCTTTCCGGCGACCTCCACCCTTTTCGTTTCCAAAGCCTAATCGCCCAAACCCAACCCAAACCAACTCAACAACTGCAGAACACAATCAATTCAGAAGACCCATAAAGAAAACAAGATTTTGATAAACAGGTTTCATGATATCCATTTTAATTTATAGATTTAACAAAATAATAAATAATAAATAAAAATCTCTACTCTTGTCATCTTCCTTATAAATCAACAGTGTGCAACTTATAAGTCACAGACTTGATGATTCACCTGTATTTTCAAATCACTCGTCCATGGCTTCTTCGTCATCATCATGCACAATGTCTATACACTTTATTTCATCTTTAGTTCTCACCTTCTTCGACGAATCTCGAATAAAAAAAGACTCATTTCATATCCCATCTTTTTGGGTTCTTCAAGAATCAAATGTAAATGGAGGTTTTAAGAGATCATATGGAGCCTAGAGAGTATCGATGCCGGTAGTGATTCGGACTTCGGTGTATTGGGAAGTGAAGAATGTAAGGAAGAAGAAATTGAGGAAGTAGTACAGAGAACCCACCAATCCAGCTGGTGAGAAAGAGGAGCCGACGGGAGGAGGTGGCTAGTAGGATTAGACTGGCAGTGAGGGGCTGGTGGCTCCGACCGGCGGCGAGGGCTGGGTGGCTGCAGATGGCAGTGAGGTGCTGGCGGCGACAAGTGGAGGTGGTAACCAGAGTTGAGAGAGGTTAGGGTTTGGAAAATTAGGTTAAAATGGTAGGAACGATGGTAAAAATGTAACTTCATATTTAGACAAAATCAGAATTAAAAAACACATAAAAGAGATGAGAGGTTCAAAGAAGAAATGTGGGCATATCATGCTTGTTAGTCAAAATGCCTAGTATAACTCATTTTTTTCAACTCCAATGCACTAGGCATATGATTAGGCATTTTAGCTCAACTCACATTCACTAGCTACATGTAGTTAGCCTTCAAGACTAGGCAAAATATATTTAATCATTAGGATCATTTCCCTCCATCTTTGTTGCTGATGTGGCATTTTATAAAATTAATAGTATTTAGATGAATAGCTAAAATAAAGAGCATGGTTGGAGTAGAAACATGAAATAGTTGATAGGCAAAATAAAATATATACTTTATAATAATATTTAGATAGGTAAAATGCCTATTACCGTTGGAGATGCTCTAATAGCAGAATATGAAAACATACTAATTTTCATAATATTTTTTATTATTTTGTCCAAGGAATTCATAATGAGCACTATAAATTTGTATGGGTGAATTACACTTTTTATCTTTAAACTATCATTGAATTATCTAGTTAGTTCTTGAATTATTGATTGAGTCTATTTAGTCATTAAAGTATATAAATCAAAATTTATTTAGTCCATAAATTATCGATTGAATCTGTTAAGTCTTAAAATATTTAATTCAAACTTATTTGGCCTCTGAAAAAATTACAAAAATAAAATATATTGCAAAGTAGTAAAAGACTCTACCTAATTAAGATTTTATTATAGAAAAATCTTAAAATTTTATTTTAATATAATAAAGTATTTTATTTAGTTATGTGTTTAAATTAATATTAGAGTATGATTTCTCAATCTTACCAATAAAATTATATTAATATTATATACTGGAGAAGTAAAATTAGATAATTGAAATAATAATACTTTGTTAGAAATAATCATATTAAAAAATAATACATTAATTAAGTTTAAAAAAAAGAACTTGTTGAAAAATTTAAAAATAATCAATTATAAATTAGGAACAAAATGTACGACATAATATTAGATAATTGCAAGTACATAACCATTGTAGAAGATAAGTAAGAAAATACTATCCATAATTACCCCTACTCTTTTCACCATAAGAACTAATGCTCACTTTTCAAATTTAAGTTTTTTTTTTTGAAATAAAATTTTAACTAGATATGATCTTTCACTAATTTATAATATTTATGGGCTTGTATTTTAGTTTTGTAATTCTTTCAGAACTAAGGCCAAGTTTGGTTTTATTTTTTTTCCATCACATCACTTCTCTATTTTTCTGTACATCTTTTTGTAAAAAGACAAAAAGTATACTTATTTAGGTCATCCCAAATAACTCCTAAATATATTTAAATTAAATATTTTAAAAAATTAATAGATTCAATTAATAATTTAATAACTAAATATATGAATTGACGATAGTTTAAGGTTATAAAGTGTAATAAATCCAATTCGTATCCCTTTTGTAAAATAATAATGTGTTTGTGATAGGTTTCCTTGGGCCCAGATATGGGCTGGGTTATAGATTGAGTATTTGTTTCATAATAAGAGGCCTGGGCCTGTAACCCATTAAAACTTGAACAGAAGACCCACTGTGGCCTACTGGGCTTTTTTACATTTCCAATTCAATGAATTCATTATTAGTTCGGTAGGGGTCTTGTGTTGGCCCAATTCTGTGGACGATCTGGCTTTTGATACTTTAGTGCAGCCTGAGGCCCTCAAACCAGAAAAACATTTGGGCTTCCATTTGATCTTCTGGTCATGTTTCCTTTTAGTGTTAGATGGGTTGAAATTAGGCTGACCCCCCACTGAGACCTGAGCCCAATAGGCACGGCGGACTGGTTGGGCTGAACAAGTGGGCTTGGCTAGAATCTGCGTATTAGAATACTCGGGCACAAGTGTGATGAGACCAATCAAAGTCGAGCTATCAATACAGAGCTTGCAGTCATTTCAAAACGACTTTAGATAAAGTTTGTATTAACCTGACTTGAGATCAAGTTAGGATTTACAACTCTCATAATCATTAGGCACTGAGGGTGATTTGGGATGATCTAAGTAAGTGTATTTTTTAATTTTTTATGAAATATGAATTAGGTATGGATTGAATTTAAAGTGATGTGATAGAGAGGTGATATGACTTAAATAAGATGATGCAACTTAAATAGGATAGTAATTTTTTAATTTTTTTAAGTTATGACAAATAAGACCTTAAAACTAACAAGATGAATAAGAATACTTATAAACGTGACATACGACAATAATCTAGGAACACTGAGTGTTACTCCTATATAAGAGTCCAGCTATACAAGGTGCCAATACAAAAACTCTTAATTTCTTAGCATTCTTTCCAATTTTTTTTTTCTAATTTAACTATTGAATAGTTTTTAACCCACACTACAACGGTACATCTAAGATTCACCATTTTCTTCTCCCATTTCAAGTTATTAATGTTGGGTTTGGTTGGGGGATTTGGAAAGAGAAAGAGAAAATGTATATGAAACTATGTGAAATGTAAGTATATTTTATTCACATTTCACCTTACTTTTTCCTTTTCCTTTCTAAATCTCTTCTCAAATCTCCTAACCAAACACAGCGTAAGAGTCTCAAACTAATTAGACAAATTCTAAATATTGAATATTCTTATTTAAAATCATGTTATTTTCGCTTTCTCGTGACGATTCTAGAAGCAATAGTTGAGGCCATGGAACCCAACCACCATAACTTGAAATTGACTAGGTTAATTTACACACAAAAAATCGACATAACTCGATAGTGATGGATGTTGCACCAAGTCCAGTAGACCATCATAATTTATGGTATTTTGGAAAGTAAATTTTCAATCCTTCTTTCCTCTTCCACCTGTCCTACCACCCCTCTCCACTTCCACCCGTCAGCCACCAATTCTGGCAACTCTCCCATCCTCAGCCCCCCACCTCTTGCAACATTTTAATGTTTGTGTTTTTATGTGTTTTGAAAACACATTTGTTTCATTTATTTAACAAAAACCAAGATTTCGTTTAATTTAGTTTTTGGAATGAGTTTTGAATTATATTTTGGAAGATAAGTTTTTGAAATGAGTTTTAAAAAGAAAAAACTTTTTTAGTTATGAATTTTTTAGTTGTGTATTTTGAAAACTTATTTAGTTATGAGTTTTGAAGCTAATTTTTTTATTTAATTTTTTTTAATTTTTGTAAAAATATATTTATTTATTTATTTTTATTTTGTAAAACTTATTTTAAAAAATTTAGACAAAAGTTATTTTAAAATTTTTAAAATTTTATTTTATTTTTTAAAAAATATTTTAAATTTCCTAACAAATTATTTGGCAAATGCATAAAAAAATAAAAAAAATTAATTTTAAATTTTAAAAAATTTTGGATCGCCCATATAATCCTAACAAATTATTTGGCCAATACATAAAAAAATAAAAAAAATATTTTATTTGAAAAAAATTTTAAAAATGAAAAATATTTTTTTTCAAAAATAAAAATAAAAAATATATTTTTTCAAAATATAGAAATATAATTGAAACTTTTTTTTAAAAAAAAAATAGAATTGATACCTTGTTTGATCATGAGTTTTTTTGAATAAATTTTTAAAAAGAGTTTTAAAAATTTTATTTGATTATAAATTTTGAAAATATTTTTTTTATTTTTTGATCTAAATTATGTTGGGAAAACAAACCAAACGCTACCAAGTTTTTGACCATATATTTTTATGAACATCACATTTTCCCTGCTCATGAATTCCTATATAAAACAAAATAGAACTCAGAGGCTGACATGTTTGACTTTCTAAGACAAATTTCCAAATTTTCTTGCAACCCTTTATTTTTTTCAAAGTATTAAAAGCCATTGCCCACAAAATCAACTCACAATTCGTATAAAGACAACCACTACATTGATTTTTTTATATAAATAAGATTGGATTAACTCTTTAAACTATTCTCATTCCAACAGAAGCTTCTCTGTTTCTTTGAAAATTTCATATTTGACTTTGTCAAATGTCACTTTTTTCTTGCTTTCATCACATTAATGAAAATTAAAAAAAAAAAAAACGAAAACAAAAATCAATTCATCTTCATACCTCAGCTTTGAGTAGATTTTCATTTGGGTAGTTTCAAGTTTTTCTTAACTTCCTCTCATATCTCTCCGTGTTGAATTTGAAGATGAATCCCCTGAATCCCCATCTCTTCCCAATTTCTGTTACTTTCTTCATGATCATAATTTTAAGCCAAATCCCTACATTTTTGTGTGTCGAAAACGAGCAATATGCAAATTGCAGTAAGGTGTTTCAGTGTGCAGGCATTCCGGACCTCGGTTACCCTTTCTGGGGAGGGAGCAGGCCAGATTACTGTGGCCACCAGAGCTTCGGCCTAAACTGCACAGGCGATGCACCACTGATCACAATCCAAACAAGACCATATCGAGTCCTTACAATCAATAATTCAACACAAATTCTCAAGGTCGTTAGAGAGGAATTCTGGGAAAATATTTGCCCTACAGAGTTCGTTAATGCCACTGTAGATAACACCCCTTTCACCTATATATCCTCCCAGGACCTCATGCTCTACTACGGTTGCGCGAGACTTCCTACAACCATTCCTGGCCAGTTTGATTGTAGTGTTGATGGCACGACCAACACACTAGGTTTTCCGAGTTTCGTCCCCAACATGACCCTCGTTGCGTCTTGTCACATTGGTGTCAGTGTTCGAGTTGATCAAACAGAAGCCACAACTTTTGCTAGTAATCCAACTTCAGTTACTGTGACACAAGTTCTTGACAGTGGTGTTGAGTTGCAGTGGGATGCTAATAATAGTATCTGTGACCAATGCATCGGGTCAGGTGGTAAGTGTGGATCCGACACTAGTTCTAGGTCGTTTGCTTGTTATTGCTCGGATAAACCTTATGCATTTACCTGCAACACAACTCAAAACGGAACCGGTAAGAGCCCCTCTAATCTCGTTACTATTTTTTTGTTTAGTTGTAAGATTAATTGTTGGTTTTAGAAAATCCAGGATCCCTAGATCTTTGGTTGCCTTTGCTCTGGTCTGATCTTATTTTAGAGGGAGCTCAAACTAATTTCAAAGTTTCCATGTAGAGTCCAAATTGCAAAGGATCTGGTTTTCATGTTTTCTAACTTTAGTCATAACATCAAATTCTGGGTGAGAGAGGGTATTTGTCATCCTACCATGACGCATTACCAAATGACTCATGAAATATAAGAGCATATCTGACTTGGGTTTGAAGGTAGCATCTTCCACTTATTGCTGGAAAATCCTCCCATTTAATCATAGAGAATGTCCAAATTCCATTTTAGAACTCTTAGGTTGTGTTTAGATTTTAAATTTGAGTAGCTAGTTGTGAAGAAGAAGGAACTGAAGAGGGGAAATTGCTACTCTGTAAATTTTTGTCACTTTTTCCATCAATTTCCCTTTCCTTCCACAAATCGCCTCTTAAATCTATGATCAAAATACAACCTTTAGGCCATGATTGAATATGGATTTGTGGAGAGAATGTGTGTGTGTAGTGGAGCATTTTCATTTCTCTTGATAAATTCAAAATCCAAACATAGCATAAAGCTAAAAAGAGAAAAGCATGTTGGAAAACTTAACTCTGTAAAATCAGATAAACAGCTATTATAATTTCAAACTAAATGGTTTCCCTGAGAAAGTAAGATCAACTTGCAATATTCAATTTATATCTCGATGTTTCCCGATGTTGTGGCAGTGTGTTATCATAGTCTCCCTTGAACATTATAATACATCAAAGACGTACTTTTTTAGTATATAGCATCATTGAGGGCTAATTATATAACACCATTCTCTCTTGTCCATCTGGAGGTGCCACTAAATTTCTCTCTGTCTTGCAGGATCATCATCAACCAATCGTTTTAATCTGGGGATCAAATTAACCATAGGTAAGGTGAGAATCAAGATAACTCTTGGTCATTGGAAGCCAAACTCTTCATAATTTGCAATTTACAAAACCGGAATTTTATCATGTCTTTTCCCCTCTAATTGGTTGGAAGATATCTCTAGATGAACTTAAGCTCTCTGTTCAACCTTCAGCCCCATTAGAGAGAAGAATTGACTGATATTATTATTTCTCAATCACAAGACTCACCACTTCTATGATTTATTTTATATATGCAGCATTCTCAATCATTGTAGCTGTAACATGCTTAATCACAATAATCTTCTGCCTTAAAAGATGGTTCACATCATCAGCTAATGCAGTGGATGATCAAAATGTTGAAGCATTTATAAGGAATTACGGATCTCTTGCTCCAAAGCGATGCAGGTATTCAGATCTTAAAAAAATAACCAGCTCATTCAAATATAAACTAGGTCAGGGAGGGTATGGTTCTGTATACAAAGGAAAGCTATCTGATGGCCGTCTTGTGGCAGTCAAGGTCCTCAGCCAGACTGAGGGAAATGGACAAGAATTTATTAATGAAGTTGCTAGCATCAGTAGAACTTCCCATGTCAATGTAGTTAATCTTTTGGGTTTCTGTTTTGAGACTAAAAGAAGAGCTCTAATTTATGAATTTATGGCCAACGGATCGTTGGACAAGTTCATTTGCAATGATGAATCTGCGAATACTAATTGTCGCTTGGAATGGAGTACGTTGTACCAGATTGCAGTAGGCATTGCAAGAGGGCTAGAGTACTTACATCGAGGTTGTAGCACGAGGATTGTACATTTCGATATAAAGCCTCACAATATTCTCCTCGATGAAGACCTCCGGCCTAAAATATCAGATTTTGGTCTAGCTAAACTATGCCACACAAAATGGAGCCACTTATCAATAGTTGGTGTAAGAGGGACTGCTGGATATACTGCTCCTGAAGTGTTTTCTAGAACCTTTGGCCAAGTCTCTCATAAATCCGATGTCTATAGCTATGGAATGATGGTTCTTGAAATGACTGGAGCAAGAGATCAGAAAGTTGTAGTAGTCCAGACAAGTGAAAAATACTTTCCACATTGGATTTATGAGCATCTGGAACATGGTAAGGATCTAAGCCTTCACGGTGTCGTCACTACCACAGAGGAAGAAGAGACAGTGAGGAAGATGATCTTGGTGGGCTTGTGGTGCATTCAGACCAATCCATCAGACCGGCCACCAATGAGTAAGGTGGTGGAGATGTTGGAAGGAAGCCTTCAGTCCTTGCAAATTCCTCCAAAGCCTTACTTGTTTCCTCCTACAAGGGCTAACCCATCAACCCAAGACACTTCCAACTCATTATGGACAATGAATATGGTGGAAGAAACGCCGGAAGATGGCCTACAATATGAGGAAGAATAATACTTGGTAGCTCGAAATTCATTGGCCCGAATTGACTCGAAACCCAAAACAACATCGTTTTGGGTTTCCTTTTCTTTCTTTTCTTTCTTCTTTTTCTTGCTTTCAAATACAGAGAGACAGAAAGGAGAGAGAAAAGGAGAAAAAAGGAAGAGAGAAGAGGAAGAGAGGAGAAGAAAAGAAGAGGAAGAGAGACGAGGCGAGAGACAGAGAGGAGGAGGAGAAGAAAAGAGAGAGAGAAGGAGAAAAGACGGTGATGGCAGAGAAGAAGACTGTGATGGAGGAGGAGGAGGAGGAAGAGAAGGAAAATCTGTGTGTGTATACACAGATCTGTGATGGCGGCGATGATGGCGGCTAAACTGCCGATGGGTCTCTCGCCTCTATTCTCTCTACTTTTTTTTTTTCCTTTTCTAGTGGATCTGAAGATGGAGAAATCTGCCGATGGGTCTCTCGCCTCTATTCTCTCTACTTTTTTTTTTTCCTTTTCTAGTGGATCTAGATCTGAAGATGGAGATGTTGATGATTGTTGTTGTTGATGATGATGTTGTGTTATTGGATTTTTTTTTTTTAAGATTCGACAATCTTTTTATTTTTATTTTTTTTTTGTGATTGTTCGTTGTTGTTGATGAATATGATGTTGTGTAGTTGAATTTTTTTTTTTTTCAGATTTGACAAAAATTATGATGTTGTCTTGTTGAATGTATGACGTTGTCTTGTTGTTGTTGTTGTGTTGATGAATGCTCTCTTTCTTCTCTCTGCCTCTCCGTTTCTCCTCTAGCCTCTTTGTTTCAGAGAGCAAAGAGAAAGAAAGAAAGAAAGAAAGAAAATAAAAAAAAAAACCAAAATGGCGTCGTTTTAGAATTCGAGCCAATCAAGCCAAAACTCTTTCGAGCTACGTAGCAGCTCCGTATTAGGAATTGGAAAATGCTATAAGCTTTAAATTTTCTATCAAACAAATAACTATGTGAGACATTTGGTCATTTATTTGGTAGAAAATTTGGTATTCCTAACATTATCCTTGAAAATTTTCACCAAGTCATAGTTGTTACACGTGGCAGCCCGGGCACCTTGGGCAATTGCATGAGCCCTTTTAGATTCCAAAATGCCCAAGGCAATGCTCTCCTGAGGAAAACAATTTTGTTCATTCATCTGACAAGCGAGTAATTAAAACTCTTCTTTTTGATTGATTAAAATATTGAAGTGGGTGAACAAAATTCTACTGTAGTAGAAGATGCATGGTCGCTTAGTCGATATTTTGATTATCTTTGCGCATCTAAGGTCAAGCAAATGGATGTTAAGCCAGCACATGATTTGGCAAAGTCTGTAAATAATTTTCCTTATGATACTTGTTATTTGTTGCTTTCTCAAAACAAAAAAAAAAAAAAAAAAACATTGGGATGGATCCCATTTAAAACAGTAAAACCAACTGTTTTAACTAATCTAAGGGTCCAGTTTTATTCACTCACCTATGAAGTCCGTAAACAAAGCTAAACTCTCTCATGAGCCATGGCTAATCAGGTGACCACCTAAATGTTACGTTTAGGCTACTTTTGTTGGTTGCACACTCACCTCTCTCTGTTTTTGTTTTTTTTTCAATAGCACAAATGGCTTCTTTTTTTTCTCTTTTTTTTTTTTTTTCTCTTGTTTTGCTAAATTGAATGGCTTCAAATAGACATTTCCATAATTAAAATGACTATTCTCCGATAATTATTTACATCATCTAATGATAAAATTTTAGTGACTTGTGATTTTACTACGACAGGTAATGATAGGTAATGAATTTCTATAAGTTCATCCACAATTTATTGATTTTTTTACAATGTTATTTGTAATATTTGAATCAATAAATTTGATCTCTCCATTAATTTTGGTTGATCTAGTTGTTCCATGAACTCTTTATGTACTTATTCTATGTCAAGTACTTATTCTCCTCAAATTTATTACTATATTAGTTAGTTAGTTTGATCTGGCCACAACCAAAGCTTTCTTCTGAATTCCAAGTTCACATGATGATGATGAAGTAGATTCCTCATCAAAAACCTTTGTTTATTAGAGCAAATAGACCTGTCCAAATGAATAATTAACCCTACTCTGGCAAGTCAACTCCATCAACAATTTAAAACAAAATAGTTATTTACACCAAACTGGCCTCAAATATTACTTTACTCCCTCATCTATGAATACATACATTTTGACTCCAACTATAAAAAAAAATATCACTTTCACCCCTTAGAGACTGTTTCCAAATCCCTCCAAAGAGGTGTATCTGTATAATTTTTATAATTGAGGGAGTTTACATATACGGTTCATAGATGAGAGAAGTAAATGATATTCAATAACAAGTGAGGGGTTTTAATGTAATTAACCCAAAACAAAAAGAAACCATGAAAGCCTTGATGGGTTTGCATGTCTGCATGCCAACCATTCGCTAATTTGCTTCTGCAAAAACCCAGTATTTGTGTTGTTACATTTCCAAATTTTGTAGCTCTCTATTCGTCTGTATCTGTGAAAAAAATAAGTCCCCACCTCTTCCCAAGCTCTGGTCTTTTCTTCTTGATCGTAATCTTAAGCCAAGTCCCAACATTTTGGTGTGCCGATGACAAGCAATACACAAACTGCACTCAGTTGTTTCAGTGTGCAAACATTCCAAACCTCAGCTATCCTTTCTGGGGAGGTAACAGGCCAGACTACTGTAGCCACCCAAGTTTCAAGCTAAATTGCCAAGGCGATGCCCCACTGATCACAATCCAGACAAGACCACACCGAGTCCTTGCAATCGATAACACGGCACAGATTCTGACAGCTGTCAGGGCCGAATTCTGGAACAATTCTTGTCCCGCAGAGCTCCATAATGTTAACTTGGATACCGCCCATTTCAATTATTCATCCAATACCCAGGACCTGATGCTCTACTAAGGTTGCCAGGCACCTTCAAATGGTGTCAGTCCCAGTCACTTCGCTTGCAGCATAAATGGCACAAATAACACAGTAGGTTTTGTGGTTAACAGTGTCACATCCACCTCGAAGGTCAACATTTTGACATGCCAGGTCAGAGTCAGAGTTCGAGTTAATCAAAGAGCAGCTCAGGCTTTAGAAAATTCAACTTCAAATGTAACACAAGTTCTTGACACTGGTTTTGGGTTGCAGTGGAGAGCAAATAATACTGACTGTAACCAATGTGTCGGATCGGGCGGAATATGCGAGTCCAACTCAACTTCTGGATCATTCGTTTGCTATTGCTCAGACCAACCTTATGCGATTACCTGCAGAACTGGTATGAGCCCCTCAATCTTTGTTACTTTTGGTTTAGTTGTTAGATAAATATCCTTTTTTCTCTTCTTTTTTTTAATCTTTCGATCTTTGGAGAAAGATAGCTATAATTTTGATAGTTGCTTTGCTTGGGTGAAATCACAACACCCTGGTTGATCCATTGACCAGTTTCAGAGAAAAATTTGAGGGTGAAGATCTGTTTCTTAGCACGCACAAAAAAAAATTATATACAATAGTTGAAAATGCTAAGGCTTTGCAGGTTGCACAATCTTATATTTTACCCCCAAAAAAAAAAAAAAAAAAAAAGAGGGAAATTTTTTTTTTTTTTTTTTTTTTTTTTTTTGATAAGTACATAAAATGGGCAACTTGTCTGTGTTCATTTTCCTAACAGGCCTTGCTCTGTGACACTAGACTCACCAAACCCTCTCTCCCTTTTGACTTGGCCATGTCCAATGACCCCTTCAAAAAAAAAAAATTTCCGTGCTCGAATGCTCCCCTTTGAATTTTGTTCAGATTTACGAATTTGAATAAAATGATTTGACACTATTCATTCAAAAAGAATGACTCCATTTTAGATTTGACAGTTTAGATATGGATTTCAAGTTTGAATTTGAGAAGTTTCTCACAATGGATTTGACATAACAATATAAAATTAGTTATTTGAAATCCTTCATTGCAAAGAGTACAAATTCTACAAGAATCCTAATAAAATTAATCCTCTTTTATCTCTAATTCATCTTCTTCTTTAGCTTTTCAACTCACATATAATAGCTTAATTTCCTGTATTTTTATAAAATTCTACCTCAAATTCCTTCATTTGAAATCCATCTATCCAAACAGAGAGTCAATTTTTTCTTCGCATGTGTCTTCTTGTCAAATTAACTAAAACTACTAATCATCTCAGACATCAAGAATTGCATTATTGCCCTATTATCTTGTCATGATGACCAAAGAGAAAGTGTCAATGGCAAAAAGGCACTTTGTTAGGGAGGGGTTGCCTGATTGAATATAAGATAGATAACAGAAAACACCTGATCTTAAATGTGATATGAATTTAACACACATACCACACAGTTGTCCAGTAACTCTAGTTTTGAACCATTTCTGATCCACATGCTAATGTTTCCCCCCAAGAACTAAAGTTCGACTCGCATGAAAATCTTCCTACAACATCATTATAATTCATCACAAATGTTTCCCGATGCTGTGGCTGTGTTACAGTGTAGCATGATAATCTTCCTAAAACATTATAATACATCATTGATGTGAGCTTTAAGCATATAGCATCATTTAGGGATTAATTATATAGCACCATTCTCTCGTCTATCTGGGAGGTGTCACTAATTTTCTCTTTACCTTGCAGGATCATCAACCCATTCTTTTCAACAGGGGATCAAATTAACCATAGGTAAGATGAGAACAAAGATAAACCCTCTCTTCCTAGCATTTCCGTAAACATGGTCATGGGAAGCCAATCTCTTCATAATTTTTGTCATCTCTTTGCCATTCTAATTGTTTGGAAAGATCTCTAGATGGGCTTAAGCTCTCTGCTCATTGTTAAACCCAATTAGAGAGAAGAAATAACTGACACTACTATTTCCTAATCACATGAGTAACCACCTCTTGCTTTACTTTTGCAGCATTCTCAGTCATTGTAGCTCTGGCTGTAATGTTCTTAATCACAATAATCTTCTACGATAAAAGACAGTTCACATCATCAGCTAATGTGGTGGCCTTCTGGAAGAAGGAAACCGTGGATGATCAAAATGTCAAGGCATTTATAAAGAATCACAGATCTCTTGCTCCAAAGCGATACAGGTATTCAGATCTTAAAAAAAATAACCAGCTCATTCAAAGATAAACTAGGTCAGGGAAGGTAAGGTTCT